ACGGATGCGAAATTTTCGATGCCGAGATTGTCGGGGCAATAGGCGCGCCGCGAGCCGCTATCATTGCGAGACAAGGGGAAGAAAAGATAACCGTGCTACTCAACAACCAAGCAGTTGTTAGAGCATTGCAGACTGGAAATTCGTCCTCTACCTGCCGCTTAATTCGCATCTTTCATGATGCTGTGCAAAGATCCAATTCAGAAATCAGATGGGTCCCAGGACACTCTAACATGGAGGGGAAGATGGAGGCTGACAAAGAAGCTCGGGCCGCACTAAAATTACTTCCGGACAGCCAGAAACAACCCAGCTATATCAGTCTTGCTTACCTTTGACGTCTTATGCAAAAGCGACGACAAGAATTGATAGACAAATGGTGGTCAACTGCTTGTCCAGCTCGATACCAAGACTTGGACCAGCAAATGCGACGACGTAAACCCCCAGAACTTTCGTTGCCACGGAGATAACTACACGAACTCATTGCTGCGAGAATAGGGCATGGGGATTTCGCGGCGTACCACCGTTGCTTCAAGCACGAAGATGCAAATCTAGTTTGTAGCTGTGGGCTAGAAAAGACGCCCATCCACTTCACACGCCGTCGGAGATACAATATTCTGACGCGTAAACTTAGAAAAGACTTGAGCTTAGATGCTTCTGCTAGGCAATTCCTCGGACAATGAGGGTTAGAGAAGTTTGAAATTTTTGCATGGGTTACAGGCTGCTTCGGTAGGCTGGACGCATCCTAGTTCTTGGATGAATGTAAGGATGGGTTTTGGGATAAATGCCAAGGCGAATACGCTGGCGGAGGAGAGCTCAGGATGAGGAATGCTGACTTGACATCAATTCTTATATTTTTTGCTCATTTATTTTCTCTTTACTGTGTTTTTTTAGTTCAATGAGCTCAAGATTTATCAGCTATAAAATTGGTGTGAACGAGCAGGGCAAGCCCAAAGGTTAAATCTCGGCCGGCTCCGCCGGTCCTACATCTAAATAGATTGAAGGTTACGGCCTAGGACTTAAAACTAAAAGAAATAAATAAAGAAGTCTGTTCCGGAAAAAATTTCGTAATAACGGCAATATCGTCTTAACTGGGGTCAGACTGTATTTGAGGAATGGGAGATATGCAGGCATTGAGGATGATCCGTGCGTACACACACAAAAGAAGGGCGGTCTTTCTGGTTGAACCTAGGCGGAGAATCTTAGTGATTTAGTTGTAGGAGGGCAAGACTGAACACCTGTACGCGGTGTCCTCTACGAACCTGAGAGTGAAATGTTCTCCCAGAGCTAAGTTCAGTCAAATTTCCCAATATCAAAGAAATTGGCCCACGAGGCAATGATTTAAATTACTCCACCACGTCGTTTTTTCGCTCCCAACGAGTTTGACTTATACCTGAGTCTCATCAAGTCTACAAGTACGACTAAGTACATCCTCATCCCTATGACCACACCTCTCGTCGACTTTCTCTGGCCTCAGTTGACCACCAAATACACGCCCACGCCGATATTTACTCCCGCTGGAGGAAGCAAAGCGTGGCGCACAAATCTGGGAGACAGTTCTTTGGGATGGACGTGAGAGGGATCAGGACAAGTTCACAAAATGGTGCAGAGGATGGATACAGTCTCAACGGGCGTGAAATATCGAATTTTGGCAAGGAGTTTTACAAATTGAGCTTTATGCGCGCCAAGACTTGGCTTACGGGAGCGCAGCTTGCACTATAAACATAAGTGAACGATGGAAGGTGTTGTGGTCCGCCTCCTGGTGGTGTTCTCTGGTATGGTTTGAGTAGCCTGGGCACCTACTCCACTTGGGAAGGAGACATCTCAGATCATATTTTGTTGGAAATCTAGATTTAGTATATCTGAAGGTTTAGATTTCTAAGTATGATCATCAAGATCAATTCAATTGATCCGATTGCATATGGTAAAGCTTAGCTGGGCGACATGAGGTTCAGTGTTATCTGAAATGCAGTGGCTAGGAAATGCTACCTTGCGATAATTCAGTGGCTGGTTGTTGCTAGATCACTTGGAGTTTGGGATCACTAGAGCCTCGGGGATCTGTATTTAAGGATAGACTTACTTGTGTATTTTAAATTAAGTTAACGGAGTATTATATATCATTAATGCATATTGAGAAGAGAGTTCGACATCATACACAACTATCAATAAATTCTTGTCCGAAATTATACACTTGTTCTTCGAGATATTTCCTCCTAGAAATCCTTGACAGTGTCTAACACATTTTGCGCGGAGAAATGTGAAGAGATGATGGAGGCATGTCTGGATAGCCCAGGGGTCTTTGAGACGTTCCCCTGGGTGGGTATTCACGGATGAGAGTTGACTTAGGGTGAAGAAAAAGCCGCCATAACTTCGCAGTGGTACTTGCAAATGAAATCTGAGGCATGAGTAGTCCACTTGTAAATTGAGTCATCTTTTCTGTACTTTTCTTTGATATTGTGTCATAGCTAGATAGCTGCATACGCAAGTAAAATCTGATGCATAAAAAAGAGATTTAGTTATAATACGAGGTTGAGCCAAAAACATTTACAGTTTATATTTAATTCCCTGACTTAATAAAATGTCTTGAACAATGGATAATTGTTTGAATCGATGTGTTGAAGATGGGATCTGAGGTGGATTCATCTGCAAAATTATGTTAGTAACGAGTAAAACCATGTATCTGCATAATAAACAACTTTATTGTTGAGAGGTCTTATTCTTGTTATCAGTCAAGCACAACATGAAAAGAGCTGTTGTTATAGTTAGACTCTAGTCCCATGGTGTCTAAACTGTGTTTATTAGACTGCAGGTTTCCGCCGCTGATCATACATCTACGGGCAAATTACACTTTAGGATATGTGCACGGAAATGAAGGCTGGAAAACTTAATACAGAACTGACGGACATGGTAGAACGTAGTTTCGGACTTGCGCATAATATGGGAGGCAGGTCACAACTCTGTATCGAACATATATCTCAGGGGATATAGGTGCTCTATATTTGACTTCGGGAATATCTATAAAAGAAGGCATTTACATGTACATACTAGAGCAGACTTCACGGGAGGGTATTTCCATAATAAATATATATATATTAAAGATACTTGATAAAGACCTTTACATTATTTACATCCAACTGCAATCGCAGCCACGTCATAATCGACAAACAGACCATATTCATTATATGTCTGAATATTTAGATAACTAAAGTCGAATAGCGGTATTATCTTTCAGCGATCGACAGATATAGAGGTCGCAAAGAATTTCCAAGTGAATGGGTGAATTTGCATAAAACTGACGGTGAGTGCGTGTTTATTGTCCTAATGAGTCTATGACTATGTTAGGACATGTAGGTCCTTTCTGCCTACAGGTCGGGAGTATCTATGCCTCGGGTAGTGTACTCCCTCCCATGCCTCCTTCACGACTTCTTTCCAGCAGTAATACCCCCACAGGTCTTCATTCGAGTACACACTAATAAGAGCCGTTATCCCGTCATTGTCTCCCCTCTCCAGCAAACGAAACAATGGCCATTTGCGGGTGTGTAGCTGAAGGGAAAAGTCTCAAAAACCACTGGGTTAAGGGCTCTCCTATGACGAAGAGGCCGGCCAGCCGGGCGCAGCAGACCTGTGTATACCAAAGAGTGTCTCTCAACCTTCCTAGCCTCCTCCTTGCTCCTCCCCTGAGTTATGCCGCAGGACAAACCAAAGGTCGTGAAAGGATGTCAGAAAAGTCTTAGTCGAGAGTGACTGTCATGAAGAATCCTGGCTTAGCATCCAATAGTCGTTACGGACGTAGGGTTGTCGAGTAACTCATGTATTTCAGATGCCTTCCTGGCTAGTAGATTCGGAAGTGTAGATTAGAAAGGACGATATTGTTAACGAGTTGGAATCTACTTTCCTTGGGGGCGTAAGGGTCTTTTGCTATGCTTTCGTGGGCTTTTTGTTCGCCCGCCGGTGGGTAGCACATGTTGTGATATGACGAGGGTTTCTCTGACTACCGTTATAGCGTTTGTTATCCCATAATCTTTCCTCATTCCCAGCATCATTATCGTCGTCTTAGTCATCATATGTGTTATCGGAAGCTTACCTTTGACTGAGGGAGAGATGACTCAACTCAAAGTTGATGAGGTGTTACTCAATCTCGGCTCTCTAGACTCGACAATAAGAACTGGAGATTCGTAGGGGATAGGACTGGCAAGTGTTGAGTTTCGTCCCTCTTTGTTTAGTATGCACTTTGTGATTCTAGCCACATCTTCTGGGCTGTTAAAAAAATTGAAAACAAAGCACATGTAAAAATGAGTGATTTTGGTGGTGAATTATCTAGTTTTAGCAGTCCATCAAAGTCATAAACTCAGTAGGAACTTATATTTAATTCTATTCTGGGCTATTCATCGTTACTTCAAATGAACTTTATAGCTTACCAGTGAAAGTCGCCTTTTCCAATTGCTCACTGCGGACACGCTAAGACCATGTGCTTGACGTTTTGTGACAGATATACTCATCAACGGCTTGGGTTCTACTCCGAGTACATTTCGTATATACAGGTAAGAATTGAGCCCAATATGCCCGCTTCTTAGCTGAATTGGGACACCGCTTTGGGCCCTGGATAGATTGCGGCGGATATCTAAGGGTGTATCTTTGAAGCTTGTATTTGTACTACCCTTTGGTTTATGAATAAATATATTTGTCGCTTTCCGTACACTTTCCTTTAATCAACTGCCCATTACAACGCTTACAGATGTTTAATATTCGGATTTATTTGTGACCGAAATTGTTACTACTCGTTACAAATAATTCATAAGAGGTCTCGCGTAATAACGATTTTTAATCCTCGAAATTTGTCTAACAATATCTGAATTATCTATTACAAATAGTAATATTTGCAACTACGAGACTACTCGAGCCTACAAAATACGGGTATTACCATCCCTACCAGTAATAATTTCGCAAACCCTGTTAAAGAAAAAAATATCAACACCTCGCCCAATTAACCCATCCATCACATCAAAATGGTGAAAAGAAGAGAACGCGACGAGGTTTTGGTCGATGCTCCTGCGGTACAGGATGATGAGAGTGGAAGTGATGTATGCTCTTCATATTAACAACATATGTCTTAAAACTGATTAGACCAGACTGAAATGGATACCGTGAACGTGGACTTTGAATGGTTCAACTTCAAGGCAGACACTGATTTTCACGGAACTAAAAACCTATTCCGTCAGCTATTTGACGTAGATTCTCAAATATTTGACTTATCTGGTCTTACAAACCTCGTTCTTTCTCAGCCAACAATTGGCTCCACTGTGAAAGTTAATGGGGAGGAATCTGATGCATATGCCGTAATCACGGTATTAAATTTACAACAGCACCGAGAAGTGGAATCTATAAAGGAGATATCTCGATATTTAACTGAAAAATCCGGCATTAATGAAAACCTTGCGCCAATCACATCTGTGCTTAACTCGGAGGCACCAGTCGGCCTTGTCCTCTCCGAACGTCTTATTAATGTGCCTTGCGAAATAGCCCCACCTATGTACAGCATGCTCATCGACGAGATTGAAGCGGCCATCGAAGATAAGGAACCCTATAATTTCAGCCACTACCTCCTACTTTCAAAGACCTACAATGAGATTGCCTCAACAATAGATCAAGAGGATAACCCGAGAACAAAGAAGAAAAAGAGTTCTGTTAACACTAGAGAAATGTTCTATTTTCATCCGGAGGATGAGATTTTGCTGAAGTATGCTACTGCATTTGGAACATTTGAATACACCAATGATGAGGGGCCAGGAATGGCAGATAGCAAAAGAGCATTTTCAGAGATGGGAATTAAGGCAAACGGGGCTCTGATTTTAATTGAAGCTAACAAGTTTGCCGACGCTGTGAAAGCGATTAATGATTGTTTTCATCCTTTCTAGTGCAAAATATCTTTGATCCCAAAATTGGCAATTATCTAAAAATTATTTATGACCTTTTTACCTAACCCAAAATTTTCAACAAACTCACATATCGAATTTTTTTCAATATCAAATAAAAAACTATATTATTCAAGTTAGTAATGGCACTAAAAAAATTATCTGAGCATGTGACCCACGTGGTCTATTCACTTCTCAAAGTGCTTGAAAAGACGACTTCAAATACTGTAAATGAGCTCCTTAAGAATAATAAAAAGCCGTGTTTATAGTCCGAGCTAAACTAATGGTCACAACTCCAAATTTACTTTATCTCAACTCCGAGATAAACATTTAAAAATTTAGGCACAAAACTATAGCCTGTGCGCTAAATTTCTAGTTTTCTCCTGAGAGAATATTTCTCAATTTCGGTTAGTAACAAGAAATTTGGATTGGAATAATGTTGGGGCTACCCGAATAATTAAGATTAAGTATTACCTTATCAAATCTCAAAAATTTACTGATGCCTTCTCTAGATTTTACCTGTTGGATTAAAATTTGCTCACTTCAAAACCTACAGTTTCACGAACTTTCTTCTCCCTAAATCCTTTTCAGGCCAAGTAAATGTTACATTTATATCATTATGCAGAATTTTTGTGCGATAGGTAACATACGGAATGATTGGATCGACTGTGCCAAGACTCAATATCTTCAGTTTATAAAAATAAGCTTTTACTAATTTAATTGTTAATTATGGTCGGCAAAGACGAATTATTTACATTCTAGTAGTACCGCTATAAGTGCTTAGTATGCTCTACGTATCTAGGAAAGCCAAAAAGAAATTTGTCCGAATCGAAGTCAATAGCAAACATTATCAAATCTAAAATTGACACCTTCCCATTAATATTGGCCCTACTGAGGTGGATACAATGCAGGATCTCACAGCTGCGAAATCTCATTGTTATTTTCCTTTGTTTTCCTCCAGTCCAAAAGGTCTTGGTCATGTAGGTCAATGTGAGCCCTTAGGGACTACATACCAGTGCCACGTCCCTTGGGTATAGGGCACAGGCCTGAAACGAATTGCTCTCCATTCAAATCAAATTTCGGCTCCAACTCTCTCAAAAAAGTCCTATAAATATATTTTAACACTAACTTCGCCTCAATGACCAATAAAAGAGTTATTCGAATTGCAAGCAGGAGCTTGCCTCACCGTTCATCGGTCATTCCCCACAACAGGATCAGGATGCTTCATTTGACCGCGAAGAGGAAACCAGGTCATAATATGCAAAGCTCTGGTTTTGGCTTATAGTCGGCTGTTGCTCTCATGGGAATGCTGGGACTGACATTTCTCGAGAGGTTTCGACTTTGGGGTACTCATCGACTTCGGGGCTCCAATTTCAGATAGTGCTACCGACACTTTAAATGTAGAATGTACCAAGTTTGCTTCGGTATATTGAGATATGAGAAAATGCCATAGTTAATTACAGCAACGGTTGATGCAAGTCAAGGGTTTGACGTAAAAATATTCTCTTGGTCGCCAACATCGAACGATTCAGGCGAGGTACAAGGCATCGGGACTATGAATCGCATTTTTTTCATAATTATTTCTAGTTCTTTTGAATTCGTCTTGATAGTAGTAAGATTTTCGGACCAAATTCCCTGTTTGAAGTCAAATTAGTTGCAGGACTTGTGTCTGGCAAATTAAAATAAAAATCAATCGTGCAGTATATCCGTTCATTTTTTATAAACATATAATTTCAAGAAGGCACGCAGGATTATCCAAGATCAAGTCCTGTAAAAAACGTTTAAGGAGGACAATAGCTGAACACTTGTCTACGTAGCCCTTTTCGAACCTTAGAGTGAATTACCAACCCAGAGACAAGTTCAGTCAAATTTTGCAGTTCCAAAGTTAATTCAAAAGAAATTAATTAAAGACTCTACACTAAATCTGATTTTTATTTATAAAAATCAATGTTCTCCAACGCCATCTGAAATCTGCAAGTACAACCGAGTACACCCTCATTGCCTGAACCATACCTCTCTTCGAAGATTCTCTGGCATCAGCTCGCCAAAAAGTATACGCCAACAGCAATATGAAAACCTATCGGAGGACAAAAATCGAGGCACAGAAATCGTAAGTCAGTTCCTTGGGATGTACGTGAGAGAAATCAGGACAAGCTTTCAAGATGATATAGAGGAAGGTTACAATCTCCATGGGTTTGAGATTTCGAATTTTAGCAAGGTCTACAAATCAAAGATCATTGTGTACGCCAAGCTTTCGATTACGAGATTAAAGCTGACACTTTAAACACAGACAGCGATGAAAGGTATTGTGGTCTGCCTCCTGGTCGTCATCCCCCCTAATTAAAGTCTAGGTAGCCTAGACACACACATGAATCGAGAAAGGGAGGACTGCAAGGCAATATCTCGTGTGGTGGCTATGTAAAAGTTGGCAAAAGAATGTTGGAGTAGCCAAAGACTTTTCCTGTTTTCCCTTTGGTGGATATACACGGTTGAGGGAAGGGTAAAAGTCCTTATTTCAAAGGTCTCGAGTGGTATCAGGGAATACACCCACAACATGAGTAGACCTAATGTTATTTTGAGTTATCGTCGTATATAATCGTCAGGGAAGGACAAGCCTTCTGCGTGTTATGTTCTATGAGTACTAGGCTTGTGCCTGTCAAGAATAAAAATCTATCTTTTTTATCTATGTATCCCATTTGTCCACGAACCATTCGTGTCAACCTTGAATAGTTGATCAAGTGATACTGCATTTTTTTGAGTGGTGTTTCCGTTTTTTCCATGCCAAAAATTTGGGACTTTCATTAGCTTTGGTAAGACTAAGTTTTGGGGAAACTCTTAGAGTGCTTGGTGATCAAAATTTTATTGGGTGCAATATTCATATTCATCTATCCCTCAAACCTGATCCATCTTTTTCTCTATGCCTCCGTTGCATTATCAATCATTATCCTCGTCAGAACCGCTGTCCCAGCCCTGTTCATAAGCTTCGGCCATCTCGCCTAGAGAGTTGGTCAAGACTTCACGCTCATCTATGGAAGGAGCTCTTTTTGCGACGACTTGAAGCTTTTTGAGCCATTCTGCTATACTTGTATCTGTTGAGAGAGAGGTACTGAGGGATAAAGATGGGCCAGATTTTGGGAAAATCGGTGGGAAGCTGGTTGTGAGAGGGAGGGGAAGAGGTATTATTTGTCTGGTTCATTAGGTAATTAGCATGATCGGAACCTACATATAGAAGGTGAAGCAATAACTTATACAAGTAAATAATATGAATAGATTACTAACTTTTTGATTTTTGAAAGTCCGTGTGCCCTCCGAGCTTGCTCGGAATCAAGACCTCTCCCAGAATCTGATGTATTTCTTGGGTCTGACTCTGACCTATGAACTTCTACCTGGCCAAAGATGTATTTTTCCCCGGAGTCTTCTGGCCTTAATTTTTGACTAGATTGAATTGGAAAGAAATTTATATCAAATTTGCTCAAATCTGACAGGTTTGTGATACTGCTATGTTCAGTATGTTTACTGTGAGACGGTAGCCGCATGTCTGTATGCTGGTTGGATATTTCCATTTCGGTAGGAGAACTTCCATTTAGAGAGCCACCTTGCATGAGACTTTGATGTACACCCATCCGGAGCATGGATATATTTTGACGACCATTGGTATTGAGACAATTGATCAGCTCACTTAAGTGCATTCGACTTTTGTTCATGAATTTTAACCTAGATGATAGTGTCATACTTTCCAATGCAGTTGAGAAGAGAGCCGATTTGTGCCAATTCGATGTATTTTGTAGTGTTACGTATGAAGGTATAGTTTCTGAGGGCAACACTATGGGTGTAAAGATAGAGGCATGTGATGCTATTTCAGAAGTCGATCGTGCCGAGTTTGACCCTCGAATCAAAAGTTTTTCCTGCGATATAAAATCAGTATTGCTAGTAATTAGGCTTGCTCAACGACAGACCCGAGGGATGGAAGTGAGCTCATCCGCAGAACCCCAAAAAGCCACGGTTGTCTTTGAGTACTCATCTCGAATTCGATCTAAATATTTCGCAGAAAATCCTCCCCAAGCGTCATCAATACTCGCAAAAATTTGAATAGCCTGCATTTGATCGGCCTCTTCGATGAACGTTCTGAGATCCCGGTCTAAAATATCGTGCTCTTTGTCTATAGAGTTGAAAAGTTCTTCTCCCATATCCCATGTTTCGAAGGGCATTAAATTTGGACTGACATCTAACTTATTGAGCTGAACAATTGACTTTGGATGGTAAAATACACGACTGAAGTCGGACCAGTACTTCACAGAATCTGGAACAATTGGCATCAAATCAGAGCCCTGCTCAAGGCTTTGTTGGTAAGGGTTTTTTTGAATGACTGGTTCTCGTTGCACAACAGTAGGGCCATTCCTGATACTATTAACCTTCCCGATCAAAGGGTTAGGATATCATACTGACCATAGTTCCTGTGGTGCTGTAGATTCATTGATCTCATATAAGGCATTAACTTTACGCAAGGATCCAAAACCACATTTTAAGTCATAAATTAAAGTTCTCGGTGTGAAGGTGTCAGTACCGTCGGGAGCAGTGCCAGCTCGAAAATGTACACCATGATCAATGAGGGACTCATCGCCTTCTTCGTAGGTAAAATATGCCTCCTAGAACACTGTGAGCCTTAGAATTCGTACTATCGTAAAAGCCGGAAGCTTACTTGAGTGTTCCAAAAGTGTGTAGCAATATAGTTGCTCTTCTGACCAAGTTGTAGTGTGATTATTTCGTGCATTTTAACCTTTGGCACATAAATCACTTAAGATAATCAATAACATACTATTTGCTGCGGCTAGTATTCAGCCTGTTGATGCCCGTAGCACGAAGCGGAGGTGTAGGCTGGGGATCTAACAGCCTAGAGACACGTTAAGTCCTGCATATCGCTGCCTTTAAAATGTTTGACCTTACACCATCTGGACTGGCACTCGTTTGGGGGCCGGGCATCTTCGAGCTGATTCGAGTGATCATATTGAATAATTCAATTGATCCGAATGTTTACAATTAGAATCGCCGTGGACGTTGTGCGCGGTATATCGAAGGATGTGGACTTTGCTTCAGGGAAAAAACTGCCTACAAGGCTTTAATGTTCTATGTCGACGAAAAACCTTCATGATTTGATTTTAAACTAAAATGCAGAGTATCAATCCCTAGAGCGTGTAAAAATCATTTGTAGTTCACAACAACCTCTATATTCCTTGACTTAGAAGCTGATTTAAATTAAACAGTCCTAGTGTTCCGAACAATGGGTTATTTAGAGCTGAAGCAAAAGTCAAAAATACTTATCGTTAATCATGTTGTTCTCGGCTATCTAGCTATGTTTTTTTATTTCATTTTTTTGTTCTGTCTGAGTCTATGAGTATGTAGGACGTGCAGGTCCTCTCTGCTTACAGGCCAAGGATACCTATACTAGAAATATATCCCCTCCTTTGCCTCCAATACAGCTCTCCTCAAACAGTACCACCCCTCACAAATCCTCATTCGATCATACACTAAGAGGAGCCCTTTGCCCTTCATTATCTCCCCTCTCCAGCCAACGAAACGATGGCCATTTTCGGGTGTATGACAGCCGGGAAAAATCTAATAAACACTGGGTGCGGGACTCTTTTAATACCAACATTAGGACTAGATCCGAAGACATAGTGATCCTTTGTGAAGCGTTCAAAGAGGCCGGCCAGCTGGGCACTGCAGACTTGTGGGTACCTCGGGAAATTCACGCTCTACCTTTCTAGCCTTCTTCCAACTCCTTCCCGAAGGTCGTGCTGAAATGTCAGAAGAGTCTTGACAGAGCGTGATTGCTGTATGGCAACTTAGCCTTACTTATTTTGTACCGTCCAGGGCGCTAGGGAGTGCCGTTGACTCATCGACAAAAGAAGCCCTGCTGGCTAATTAGTCGAAATCTTAGTCTTGGCGCCCACAAAAATCCAAAGTTGAAAGCCCCTCGAAAATGTCAGTCCCAGCATGGTCTTCAGAGACCTCTTTCCCCTCCCGCTCCACATCTCAGCCGCCTGTCCTTCCTCAAGATGTATAACCCCATTAGAGCAGCAGGCCCCCATAAACCAAGACCCCAACTTTGTATATTATGACTTAATTTTCTCCTTGCAGGTATACGTGGCGTCGTAAATTTGTAGTGAGTGATGTTCGGTAATGAATGAAGCAAGCTCCTGTCTGCAATTGGGGTGACGCCTTCATCGGTCGTCGAGGCGAGATGATGCGTGGTTATAGAGAGGTTGTGGACTGAGATGAGAATGGTAAGAGAGGCATTGTCGAGAAGTCGTCAAATGGAGATGTGTTTGAGGTTGCTTTCCACTTAGATTCGGATGCGATTCTTCTTGGCTATCTCAGATATGCAGAGCATACTGAGCGATTGCACTGGCATCACCGGAAAGTGAAAAATTTGTCTTTACCGGCTCGGTAGGTACTTGAATCAACGCGCACTAAAACCTCAATGACTGATGGGTCGTTATTTCCTTACTAGTATTTATGTCGATTGGCCTTAATTTACGTATACGTAAGGTTAGTTCAATGCAAAACGAAAGGTACGAAAATGAGGTATGTGATCTTGTTTCTGTCTCTATCTATGAACATTGCGAACGTGTAGTTTGTGGTATTGGCTGAGTCATTAAAACAATGACTCAGCAACTGGGAGATGAACCACGCTTAGTGCAAAACATATTTAAATACTTTCTGTAAGCAGATTTGTGCTTGCACAAGTCTGGATCCAGTCCAAAAGCGAAAGCACGATCTGCGTGCAGGCATGTCAGACTAGTAATGATGATCAGGGGCATCAATAGGGTAGAACTAGATATTATAGTGCTACGATGGACTCGTAGCATGGAGACAATTAATCAATTCATTCTTGTATTCGCTTTTATCTTTTGACGATTCACGTGACATTCGCACGAAGACCTCTCTAAGTTTTACACTTTCCGACATAAATAAAAAAAATAACCCAAGCAGAAACAAACTCAGAAGCCTCGGCAGTTAGCAACTGCAGATTCTGAAACTTGGAAAGTAGCCACTTTTTACCAATGTAAAGAGTCTGGACGGCAAAAACTGAGTTTCCAAGGCTCACCATTCTTCCTACACCGTAACCTGACAAGGGCCCAAAGCTGTTTGGCAATGCAAATACGAAGTGAGCACATGGGGCTTAACTCGTATTTACACAGTAGACACGTACCCGGAGTTTTAAGTCAGGTTGTCCATGCGGCTACCAATCACAGAACCCCTTTTTTTTATGCATCAGATTTTAATTGCGTATGCAGCTATCTAGCTATGACACAATATCAAAGATAAGTACAGAAAAAATGACTCAATTTACAAGAGGAGCACTCATGCCTCGGATTTCATTTGCAAGTACCGCTGCGAAGTTATGGCGGCTTTTTCTTCACCCCAAGTCAACCCTCATCCGTGAATACCCACCCAGGGGAACGCCTCAAAAACCCTGAGTTATCCAGACATGCCTCCGTCATCCATCAACTTTTCTCCGCGCGAAATATGATCTGAGATGTCTCCTTCCCAAGTGGAGTAGGTGCCCAGGCTACTCAAACCATACCAGAGAACACCACCAGGAGGCGGACCACAACACCTTCCATCGTTTGCTTGTGTTTATAGTGTCAGCTGCACTCTCGCAAGCAAAGTCTTGGCGCGCACAAAGCTCGATTCGTAAAACTCTTGCCAAAATTCAAAATTTCACGCCCGTCGAGAATGTATCCCTCTTTTGCATCATCTTGTAAACTTGTCCTGACCCCTCTCACGTCCATCCCAAAGAACTATCTCCCAGATTTGTGCGCCACACTTTGCTTCCTCCGTCGGGTATAAATATCGGCGTGGGCGTGTATTTGGCGGTCAACTAAGGCCAGAGAAAGTCGACTAGAGGTGTGATCATTGGGGTGAGGATGTACTATGTCGTACTTGTAGACTTGATGAAGCTTAGTCGAGAATCGGACTCTTTGGGAATGAAAGATTGACGTAGTGGAGTAATTTGAATTTTTGCCTCGTGGGCCAACTTCTTTGATATTGCGAAATTTGACTGAACTTGGCTCTGGGGGAATATTTCACTCCCAGGTTCGTAGAGGACACCGCGTACAGGTGTTCAGTCTTGCCCTCCAATCACAGAACCCCAAGCATATGATTATGTCCTGCCCCCGATGGTCAAATGGTAGAGCTGAGATCTGGAGACAAGCCAAAGATCGATCCTACGAAGCGATGATAAACAATCCTGGAGATATAAAAAGGATAACACAGTGAATCCTAAACCATGGTTGGATAGAGCAGAACCAGATGACAAAAGCGTTCGAAATACTGCTGAGGGAAAGGAAAAGGTTAAATAATGCTTGGGGCGGTTAGAGATGATCTGGTTGATTTACATGGATGGCACTATATTGTAACAGCGCTTCCTGAAGAAAATATGTGAAAACTATAGACAACAAGTAGAAAGGTGTGGGAGGTTTTCACCATAATGGTTTCCTCCCGGGTAAATATTATAGACTGTAGACACCTGCATGGGCCCATAGGGCGCCAAATCAGGATAATGAAATCAAATTCAAATAAAATAAAATAGCGGTACGGAATCGTATCTTTATGACGAGTCCCCACTGTATGAATTTGAAGCAAAAACTATGCATGACTTTAAGACAAATAAGTAACATTCCAACCCATTTCCCATGCATTCTTTACATAGGTCACCTGTTACCTCCTATCTCCCATTTTTTGTGCCTAATTAATTTTCTCTAGAATTGGATATACACTTGGAAGTTTATGATTATTGATTTATTTTATTGTCATATCTGAGTCTATGACTATGTAGGACATGCATGTCCTCTCTGCCTACAGGCCAAGGATACCTATACCAGTAGTATGTCCCCTCCTATGTCTCCGATACAGCTCTCCTCAAACAGTACCACCCCTCACAAGTCTTCATTCGATCATACACTTAGAGGAGCCGTTTGCCCTTCATTATCTCCCCTCTCCAGCCAAGGAAACAATGGTCATTTGCGGGTGTATGGTAGCAGGGAGAAATTACTTGGAAGTTTTTGAATATTGTATTAATGACCCCCTTTCTCTTCTAGTCCTTGAAATGATTGGTAATATTCTGGCATTATACCAGCAAATGTTTAGTCCCTTTGTGTCCTAAATTTTGTGCAATAAAGTATTAGATGCTCTTTTGTCTACATTTTTGAATGACAGAAGTAACATCAATCATCATTAATATTTCCGATCAATTGTAAACAGGCTCTGGTATTTCTAATACCACTCTAAACTTAAGATATACAAATCCTTCTAGCCTTATGTGGCCCTGGAAGTCAAGTGGAGTATGAGGAGTAAAAAGGGTATGAAAATTAGATGCACGACTTTAAATTGATAACAAACGAAGCTTGGACCGCTGCGCATTTTTCGGGCAAAAATGATGTCTGTTGCTTAAGTTGAATAGCTGCAAAGAAAAATCTCTTGTGCGCATTTGAGGTTAGGGACTGTAGTACTTGCCGAGCCCTCTGCATCTTATCCCTTTCTCTTCACTCACCAACTCTGTTTCCAAATCTTTTTGCCATCACGTTTATATCGAAATTCCTGGACTGTTACTTTAGAGACGATTACGAAGAAAATATATATTTTTTGAAATTCTTCTTATTTGCTGCTGCTTTAGCTAGTGAATCTTCCAGTTCATTACCTTCAATTCCTAAATGAGCTATACACCAATCAATATTAAGACCGCAGAATTGCAATTTCTACGATGGACTTCATCGAAATCACGCCCCTATGATGGAAAGGGGCTCCTGAGCTTTTAGCATTCCATCCAACACCCCTCCCATCCCCCACTCCGCGGCAGCTCCGTCTCAAGTTAACCAACCTCAAGACGATGTGGTAGTCGCTGACAGGCTAATCCTTCAGCCTGTCTCTCCCTCTAGACGCGCAATTCCAAAATCCTGCTATGAAACAACGATGCAAAATGTGAATAACGCGAACGATTTTATCCCTTTGGAACTCGCCCTAATTATCGAAGAAAGACAGCGTCGTGAATTGGCACGGCATGCTTGTATAATGATGTGTACCTGCGCAATTAGCAGTATCGAGAGTGCTCTCTCAGGCTTTATGAAGTGTTACGGTTTGACCGCTATTAGAGCTTAGGTGAATACCTAAGCGGATTGTTGGGAATATTTACAACTAAGCGGTACTGCTAGTCAGGAGGTCGAAGCGTTACTACAACTAAGTAACACCTGGCAATGCGTGGCTGGGTAGCAAGTATTGTGCCTAAGGATAAGTCATCAGTCTGGAGATTGACGAAGGGGACCAATTCTTATAAATACCTGTTAGTCGTAGCTAGAGTTCTCTTTTCTCCTCATATAGTTTAATAAATCGATTTATTCACAACCAACTCGGTTTCCGTCACATGAAGGATATCGAAAAGGACGAGGCTACGACAATCCGCGATTACCTCTCCAAGGCTACTTCAAAATATCCTGCCTCATAAGCTGCCCCCCTCATCCTCCCATCCCCTCGAACTCTTGACCAGTTTCTAGCAAGGCGAAAGGCAAGAATAAGGATGAAACAAACAGAGTTAGTACTTCAGCTCCTATTTAAATTGGTGCTTCCAATTATGACAAAGGCAGGGATGTGTAGAATACACGTCACTAATCCCCTATTAATTGTGAGGTTAGTATTAATATGCTTTGACGCAATAAGAAAAAAAAACATAATCTTTGCCAGAAAGCTGCGCAGCCTTCCACGCTGCCCGTATCATCAATTTGACATCGTAATCATTATTTTTACATCTTCATTCACCTCTTGCCACACTTTGGCTTTCCGTGCTCCAACATGGCGAGTGTGGGTGCTGGTGTGGGTAAATCCAGCGATTTCGACGCGTCGCAAAATGCGACAACTGCATCAAACAACAACGGCAGCGGAGCGCAGACAGCTACAAAGGACAACAACCTTGAAATCCCAGGGAAATTACTAAAACAGGTTAGATTAATCGTGATAGGAGAGATGGATGAAGCGGACCTACCCTCAATGGAGGACGTGAACGAGGCCGTCAAGGCCTTCAACGCGCACAAAAGGGTCTGGACGGAAATGTTCCAGAAGAAGTCTGCCATCGAGGAGAGGATGATGGCTTTAGAGGAAGTCGTAAAGAAAAGCCTCGCGGATCCCGCTCGAAAAGCTGCTCCAGCAATGGTTTCGGGCGCGCCGACACCAAGGAGTTACGCGTCGGTCGTAGCTCCGCAAATGGCGAAAACGGCGGTCAGAATAAGAATCGACGACGCACAAAACTTGTAGCCACAAGAGCTGCTAACTAAGGCACAACAACATATCCAAGGCGCATACGCGATTCGCCAAATGCGAAGCAACGACACTGAAGTGTTCGTCCAGTCGGCGTCCTAGAGAGACATGGCGCTAAACATGCGACAACCAACGGACTTCAAAATTCTACGGCAAGATTTTCCAGTCGAGGTAGACGGTGTCCCATTGCGGACACGAATTGAAGGGGGCAGAGATGCCAATAATTTTGCTATCATCAGGGAGAGAAAGGCGGTTACAAAGGCACGGATTCCAGGCTTAGTCATAAGTCGTATAAGGTGGTCACACGACGG